CCAACCCTAACGGGCTAGAGAGTTAAATGGGTTGGGACGGGCTGGCCCTTTTAATTAAAGGGCCAATAAAATAGCAGCCCAACCCAGCCCTAAGCGGGCCACGGGTTGGGACGGGTTGGCCCTTCAATAAAAAAACGGACAACTTCTCCTCTTAGAAAGGATACGAATGTCGATGTCCGATGGACACGACATCAATACATACATAAATTCATTCATGAATTACACATACTTCAGTGAATATTTACAAAACAAATACATAATAGCCAAGATACAACATTCATAAGATTCATCCGAGCAAAAAAACATTACATTATCATTATTTTCATAAACAAGACAATAAAGGAGAAGTGAAAAAAATTAGGCATAAAAACAAAAGTAAAGGACGTCAAAGATTCATAGTTATAATGGAGCAATGAACTTGGGCTAATAAGAAAATTTAGTGGGCTAATGACCCTAAAATGTAAAAGATATGTAAAAAATATAGTCTTGATTTTATATTGATATTTTAAAAATATTTATTGATAAATCTTTACAAATAAAACACTACTAAAAATATATAAAAAAAATATTTTAAAAAATTAATAGCCCATGGGCTGGCCTCTGAGGCTTGCGGGTTGGCCCTACGAGGCTACGGGCCAAACGAGGCTGGGCTAAAAAGCCTCGTTCCTAAATGGGCCAAAAAAATTAAGCCCAACCCCACTTAATTCAAGGGTTGGGTTGGGCCGGCCTCGCGGGCCAAGCCCATTTTGACGGCTCTACATATATGTCATTGATGCTGTATTTTTTTTAGTCTATGAAAGAGAGGTAAAATGATTGAAAAGGATGATTCGCTCGCATGTATTTAGCGACTGAAAATACTCCGTCATTTCATCATCATCAATTCCAATTAAATCTATCGAGATTTTACATTTGCAATTTCTTGAGAAAAAAAAAACCATTTTGAAAATTTGTTCATTCACCCGGGTTTTTAATTTGAGAGTTATTTTAGCTAAAGAAATAGAAAATATACTTACTCTATAACACTAAACAAGCTATTGACATATAAAATAGAGACAATATGGTATATGTTCCAGTCCCATGAATCACTTTTAAAAGGTTGGATTAACCTTTTTCAGAATTTTTTTTTTAATATATATTGTAAATTTGAGTTTATTTTATACTTGTGTAGTGGATTCATGCCTAAACTTTTTTTTTTGTATTCCGACATTCTTTTGTAGGTTATAACACACTGCACTTTCTCGATCCAAGTCTACGTGATGATTTAGTATTACACTTATATATTAGGATTGATGTCATGTGTGAAGTAAAAACCCAATGATTGAATATAGAGTTGATAATATAGATCAATTTATTGACTTATTGACGAGGGAGACAAAAATGCAATCAAAAGGACATGTAATGAGTCGTCAACTTAGAAGTTATATATCTAGGGTCAATAGAGATGCATGCTAAAATATTAGTAAATCTATTTAAGTATATTACAACAGACCCACATGAGCTTAAATGTTATATATATATTATGTGTAAATCTTATGTACCCATTGGTTTGTCTTGCTTTCCTTTCTAATCAATTTAAAGAAAAATGTTTCTCTTTCTCTCTTGACAACTCAATTCTAACTTTCCACATGATATGTTTAAGACCATAAGATTAATGAATATTTTGGTACATTCTACAAATCTTTAGTCTGAAACCATAAGATTAAAGGATATTTTGATGCATTTTACAAATCTTTAGTCTTAAACCAAAAGATTAAAGGATATTTTGATACATTTTACAAATCTTTAATCTGAAATCACTAAATTAAAAAATTTCTCTACTTTCTTAAATTGCGTGCCAAATCAAAATCATACCCATAAATTTAAAAAAGCACTAATAAGAATACATAATACAAGCAAAAACTACTAGCTAAAAAACTGGATCCACCATTTCAAGCAAAACCCACCATCCCACCCCGAACCAAAAGCAATTAAGTGATGATTTAAGAGTTAGGCATTACTTTTCTTCAAAAAAGTATCTAATTAAAGAAAACAAATAAATAGAAATCAGAATCTTAAGTAACCATGGAATTAAGCAAGACAAAGATTCAAAGGAAATGCCACATTTCCTTTTGAGATAATTTCATAAATAGTAAAGAGATAAAAATTTAATTAGCATTCTAAGCTACAATTTGCATAGTTACGCTCCATAGCTATAGTTTCGTTTGCTATGGATATTTTCATTTGTATATTTCGCTTGTCAATATATAAACTAGGTCAGTATATATTGTTGTGAACCAAACTGACTACGTAAGGGCCTATATGGGCTGGAAGGGGGTGAATGAGACTGATCCATTTCAGATTATTGGGTTGATTAAAATGTTGGAGAGTTTTATTTGGGATCTAGGACCAATTATCAATTGGTTAAATAGGTCTTGGGGTTACACAGAAGTAGGGGTGGCAATTCAGCCCATATTAATGAAATGAGTTCATTTTACCCATATCTAATGACTTGGATTACTCATATTTTAATTGGATAAATATGGACTTCAAGCTATTTTAAGAGTCTCTACAAATATGGTCAAAATGGGTAAAATATGGATTGGGGTAGATTTTTTTATTTTTTTTTAAAAACATAAAAAAAAGTGGGGTGGATGGGTGCAGGTGGGGGTAGGGAGGATGAATGTGGGGTGAGGTGGAGAGGGGAGGGTATAGGGGTGGAGGGGGATGAAAGCGGGGTGGGGGGCAGAAAAAATAAAATAAAATTAGGGTTGGGTGAATTGGAGGTAGGGGTGGAGGGAGTAGAATAAAAAGTTACTTTAAAAACTTAAAACATATAAATTCATTTGAAATATGGGTAAACTCATATCCAATCCGTCCATTAATTACCCGAATCATATTTACCCATTTAGAATATGGGTGGATTGAATAATTACCCATTTTTGTTCAAATCATTTTAAATCCATCTAAATCCATCCAAATCCAACCATTTGCCACCCCTACACAGAAGAGGTTATGCAAATTATTTTGGCTATGAGTTATCTCTCATCTCCATTATCAATTATTTTTGGTTTCCACCCGATATATCCCATCCTCTTCTGATTGCCTCTTCTTTGTATATTCTCCTTAGTTACTATTGCTATTACCTTGTTGTTCAGAATTCGAAATCTAAATTGTAATTTGAGTTCAGAGATCATAAATGCATTCTGTGTTTGTGTAAAAATTGGTTTGTTACATATACAAATTTTGATTTTATATAAATAGGAATTGAATTACACAAATTCAGAACAAAATTTTACAAACTGTTCCTCTAAGTAAAAGAATAAATTAAAGATGAAAGAAAATTATATTTTTTTATTCAGGAAAAGTTAAAGTATTTATGATAATACTTTGATTTTCCTTTCAGAAAAAAATAAAATTTCAAGTAAAGTAAGGTAAGAAAATCAAGGCAAAATTGTAACACTTTGTTGCCGCCCAATTTGATGCTATAAAAGCATGACAAAGGATTTTTAGGAGAGCACCAATTAACAATTAGAAGATGAAAGCGGATGCAATAGTCTGTAGATCTGTGGCAGCAGTTCTACAAAAATCTGTGGTGGTGGTGGTGGTGGATGCGGAGTTTAAAAGTAGAGGTGGATGCAGTTTTACAAAAATCTTGAAAGTTTGAACTCATGAAATTCGCTTCAGATTAAAAAGGAGTGAATTATTTCTTTGTATGCTTTGTACAGTAGCTATTCATGTTTTATAACAATATGTCTGTTCATAATTTTTCGTACCATGCGATTGGAGAAAATCCTTTTAGTGACTTTGATATTATTTTATGTCCACACTAATCGAAGAAGGAGACGGCGAAGAAATTGTTTTTGGGACAGTGAGGAGACGAAGGAGCAATTGGTTATAAAAGTTTTGGCACTAGCTCTAGTTAAGTTTTCCTTCCATTCCATTTTATATGACATTATTTGATTTGACACAATTTTTTTTTTTGAAATATGTTGTCTAAAATTAACATCATTAGATAAACAGAAATTTAAAATTAAAATTATTTCTAGTTATAATAAGGTAATTAAAATGGAAAGAGCGTCACTCACGGAGAGAGTACGGAATTAAGCCAGAGAAAGAATCAAAGGAAGAAATCATTTCTTTTGTTCCACTCAACTACAAAAGTAAAAATTGTGACGAACGTGCCTGAGTCTTACCTCTTTATATATTTCTGATGTGATAAGAGAATATTTATAAAAATTTAATAAGGGAACACAAAGTCTACCGTAGAAAATTTCTCCATCAAGTTTCCAAGCTCTAATCATTTGGTATAATAATATTCTAATCTTCATCATGAGTAAACTTGTATTGAAATTTAATTTTGCAAGTTGCACTGACTAATTTGTTGCCTAAAATTTGATGCTATAAAAGCATGACAAATTAGGATTTTTAGCACAGCACCAATTAACAAGTTAATTTGAATTTTGAAGATGAAATCATATGCAATTTTGTGTTGTTTTTGCCGAAAGAAAAAGAAGAGGCACCCAGTGACTTGGAATGTGACCGGCGGTTCTCCGGCTATTCCTCCGCCGCCGAAGCCTTTACAAGCGAACCGCGATGTTGAAAAGGGCGAAATTAAACCCAAGGACAACTCAGCAATGAGAGATGGCGGAATGGTTATTCTAGGTGCTGCTGCTGCAACAGTTGTCACCGCGGCTGTTATTGATAGTGCTTACAATGGAGGAGGAACAAGCGGTGGCTGTGGCAGCGGAGGTAATGGCGATGGCGATGCTGATGGTGATGGTGATGGTGATGGTGGTGGATGTGGTGGCGGAGGTGGTGGTGGTGGTGGATGTGGAGGCGGAGGATGTGGTGGCGGAGGATGTGGTGGTGGTGGATGTGGAGGTTAAGGTCTAAAAAGTATTGGTAGCAAGAATCAATTTCTGATATTTAAATAACTTGAATGTTATATTTAAATAAAATGATATTTTTATAAAAAAAATTTGTTTTAAATAAAAACTTCATGTAAATAAATTTTATTGAAAAAATTAATTAAATATGTTGAATGACTTTTTGTGAAAAGTATAATTGAGTTGCCCTTTGTAAAAAGAGCTCATAATTAAATCACTTTTGAGTTAAGAATAAAAATTGAGTGACTTTCTGTGAAAATTTCATAATTAAGTGATCATCTGAAATATTATCTCGAATGAATATGATAAAAGACTTCCTATGATGCATTGAGCGAAATTAAGTAATTTTTATGTTAAAAAAAGAAAAAACTTTTTAGTGACTTTGATATAGTTCACAAGTAGGCACTTAAATTTGCATAAAGTTGAACAAGTAGACACATAAATTCTACGTGACATAATACACATTGAACACCACGTAAGACACAAGTTGCCATGTTGGATGCAACATAGGACTTGTGTGTTTATTTTTTTTAAAAATTTTATACAAATTTAGATGTCTATTTATGCATACCAAAAATTGAAAGACATAAATATAAGATGGATCTCAAGTTAGAGAGGTACTATGACTCTATGAAATCAAGTGATACATGTAGGAAGTAATGCCATGGATTTAATTAGCAAGACAAAGTAGGCGTTTGGCCATGCGATACCATATCACGATATGATATCGTGAGATGCAATCACTGTTTGGACATGCGATTTTACGCTGATTCCATATCATGAGACGTGATTCCATATTCTCCAAAAACCATGACATGGAATTATATGGTAATTCCATATCATGATTTGAGATTATTTTTAATACAAAAATTGATCCACAAGTTTATATTTTGTTAAAAACCCACATTTATATCTACTAACCATTTATTTCATATGTAAATAAAATTTATTATCACATCATTACTTTTTAAAATTTATTATTCTCACCGACATAAAATTTATTATTCTCACCAACATATAGTCACTTTAACTCACACCAACCGATTGTTAAAGTGATGAAATATTTATGGTCTATGAGCATGAATATATAGTTGCGGATCGGATGATATTGACCAACAAATGGCTCAAAGTAACAATGTTGGTTAGTCTTCTCGGTCACATGATTGAGAAATGCAAGTTCAACGTGAGAAAATTGTTTGTATTATGTGGGAGGATTATATTAAAGACTAGTACACTATAATTTATGTTCAATTTTTTAATTAAATTAAAGTTAGATGAAACAATTACTTAAGTGGAAAACAATAGCTTTGTAATAATTTATTATGCGATTTTATAAATTTTTATTTATTTGATAAGATTGAATAAACAATTGGGGCTATTTTAATAGTTTTACAACTTACGAGATTTTTATGTTTATGATAAAAAATATACAACACAAAAATTTCATTTCGCATGTCCAAACAAAATTTCAATTTCATCTCATGATTTCATATCATGATACCATATCGTATGGCCAAACGGGCCCAAAGATTCAAAGGAACTACACATTTCTTGTATTCCACTCAACTACAGAGTCAAAATTGTGATGACTTGAGATAATGCCTTGGTCTTGCCTCTTTTTATTTCGCTACTGCAATAAGAAAATGTATAGTATATATATTTACGACCTAAAAAGATTTAAGGTAGCCAAAAGTCTACAGTAGAGAATTTCCACCAATTTCCCAAGGTCTAATTAATTATTTGTTAGTCTTCAATCTTCTAATTTTTATTGAGTCAAGGGTCAAAAAATAATAATAATAGCGAACCACAATGTTGATGAAGATTGGATATGGATGAATATGCTAAAGATTTTTTGTGATGTTATTTGAACGAAGTTGAATGACTTTTATATATTGTAAAAAATACTTTAATGAAATAAAATAAAAAATTGAACAACAACAATCTATGAAATCAACTCATCCATTGAACTAAGAAAGAGAAATATTCAAAGAAATTGTCACATTTCTTTTCTTCCACTCAACTGCAATATCACAATTATGAAGATCAACTTAAATAAAGTCTTGGTCTAAGCAAATAAATTAAAATAAAATTTCTCAATTCTAATGTACTCATATATCTTATAGTATTAGTAATACTTGTTCAACAAGCTTTTATAGAAAATTGAAGTTACACTGCTTTGGTTACGCAATCTGGTGCTATAACAGCATATGACAATTAATAAAGAAATTAAAATAGAAGATGAAGGCATATGTTATTGCACTCATAGTATGTGGCTCTGTTGCAGCTGTAGTTTTGGTTTGGTATTTTGGTGGCCGAAAAGAAAATATCAGTCGGAATAATGTGCCTGTTCCTGCTCCTCCTCATGTCGAAAAGGCTGTTGTTATGAGTCCTAGTGCTCGTCGTGACTGGGGAATCCGGGGTTGGGGTGGTGGAGGGATGAGCTCTTGGGGTGGTGGTGGAACTATTGGCGTGGGCGCCAGAGTTTGAATTTGAGGAGGTACACATGAAAAAGAATAAAAACTTTATTTTTTTTCTGTTTTCTATTGTGGCTATTGCTACGTTTAGTGTAACATAAGGAAATGTTGTAAATAATTTTTGTGTATTATGAGATTTGGAGGAATGAGTTTTAAGTTATATATATATATTGATGATGTGGAAGTCTTTTATAGCATCAGTTTGTAAATAATTTTTATGATCAAATGAGAGCTTAATTTCTTTTGATGTTCTCCTTTTCCTAATTTATGTATGATTTCGATGTTTCCATTTCAAATAAACAATTTTAATACATAATGATGTTTAGCGGCAATTCATTAACGACAATAGCTTAGCTACTGTTAAATATATATTTTTAGAGGCAATTAACACTTTGTAAATGTCCTTAAAGTCAATAGCAGATTGAATTTAATGACAATTAACTAATATCGATAAAGACTTTATCACTCTTTATTAATATGTATATTTATTATCTCCAAAATCTATTTTTGATATAGCGATATCATAGTTATCACCTTATCATAATTCAAAAAAATTGCATGCCACATTTCTTCTCTTTCACTCAACTATTATGTCACAAATGTGACACCTTAAACAATTCTAGTATTTTGGTCTAAGCAAATAAAATAGCTTACTCGTGTAATTTTCTGTGTAGTGTAGACACAAATATACAAATATGTACTTCTAAGAAAAATTTATATTGTGGCTGTTATAAAGAAACGAAAGTTAGTATCAAACATACAAATTAGTTACATTAATGAATAATTAGAAAAACATACAAATTAATTACATTAATGAGTAATCAGCAAAATAAAAATAAACTGTTCGTATCAATAACTTCTTATTGATGTATAGCAATTAGAACTCAAGAGGAGAATCTGAAAAAATGTAAATTATGACAAATTCCTAGAAGATTCTCAAGACACATTATAATTATTTATTACATGTCGATCTGCCTAGTTACGTAATTCTTTTCTTTTTTTAATCGCTTTTTACTTTTCTCATTTTCAATTTCTTATTCCATAGATTTTAATGGCGTCCTTTAAATTAGATGGGGATGAATTATATGATAAAGACTTACTATGATACATTAAGAGAAATGGAATAATTTTTATGTTAAAAAAATCCTTTTTAGTCACTCTGATATAATATAAATTAACATAAAATTAAAGTTGAGTGACCATTAATGAAATCAAGTGATACAGGTAGGAAGTAGTAGCATGGAATTAAGCAAGATAAAGTATCAAGGGACGACCTCATTTCTTGGATTCCATTCAACACCAAATTAAACGAAAACTATTCCTATATGACAGGACAAACAAATTAACCCAAAACCTTTCCTATATGAATTAGGACAAACAAATCCTAACTAAGACATAATTAAATAAATATCAACATTTCTTAATCCAACTTTGACTTATTATTTCAACATGTTATAATTAAAAAATTCTAAACTAAATCACGTTTACTTCCTGCATATATCGATAGTCTCAATTGTCATCGTTACTATATTTCTTTTCACCATGTTTTGGAAAGGGTGAGTTCGTCGGGAAGAGATGCCAAATGATTGGAAAGGGTGGTTTTGCTCGGGTGTATTTAAGGACTTCGGATGTTTCACCGTCAATTTTAACAGTTAATTATGTCGGGGTTTTACGAACGCAATCTTTTCGGAAAGAGATACAGGTTGTTCGTCAATTGCAAGATTGCTCCAACATTATTACTTGTTTCGGGTAGATTTTACTGTAGAGAAAAATAATCTGCAATATATTGTTAGAATACGCATGGGTGGGACTCTAGTTGATCGACTGGGTCGTTTCAATTTAGGCCGTGGATTACAAGAATACGAAGTGAAACAATATGCAAAATCAATTCTCTTGGACTTATGATAGAAGACGATACTTTCATGTGATTCTGGCACGGAGAATGATAAGACGTTGGAAAAAGATAACAAGCTTCTTCAGACTGCGATGTTGAAGAAGCGATATGCAAACATGATCATAAGTCGTGATCTTATAATGTATATAAATGTAGTGCTATCATGGTGAAGAAAGAAGGCTTTGGTTTTGGGATCCAAGTTAGTGCCTTGTGATCAAATATAGAGTTGATAATATAGATCAATTTATTGACGAGGACACAAAAACGCAATAAAAGGACAAGCAATGAGTCGTGATCTTAATGGATATTTTGGTCTACAAATCTTTAGTCTTAAACCAAAAGATTAATGGATATTTTGGTATATTCTACGAATCTTTAGTCTTAAACCAAAATATTAAAGAATATTTTGATATATTCTACAAATCTTTAGTCTAAAAGCACAAGATTAAAAAAATTCTCTACTTTCTTAAACTACTGTTAATTCTTGTTAACTCTAAGTAATTGAGGACTTTAACCATGTATAAATAGTAATATTTTCCGCATGAACCGCCCGCCTGACATACTGCTAGCTCCCTGGCTGGGGTTAGGTCATACCAAATATGTGATGGGAGAAATATACTCGTGCAATCTAC